GAGGAGGTACAATGGATAGAGTAGGTGTATAATGATAAGGTTTGAGATTCCGTTCATGTCACGGCCGGCATAAGGGGATTGCTACGTGAGAAATATGATAGTAGATGAAGATTCCATTCAGGTCATGGAATGGCCCAGTTTGGTGACCCAAAACTAGTTCAATGTTACATTGGCATGCCCTAATCTGGAAAAAAGTTATCTCTGTACCGCAATAATATTTCCACCACCATTATTATGTACGTATTGAAACCATACTCTTGGACTTGGTGGATGTAGACTTCAGTTTCCACCACCGTCCACTCCAATTGAATCGATCACTTAAGACACATCACATCTCATGGCATGCATGTATCTCATTAAATAATTAGTTATTAATCAAAATAACTCATGTCTTAATCGTAACGCCATAGTTTTTAACTCTAAGAGTAAAATATTCATCCTTATATACAGAGTAAAATTTCATTCTTATGATTTTTGAATTGAATAAAAAAGACTAAGGTTGAAGTGTTTAATCAAAATTATCACAACGTGAGAGCTTCTAAGTCTTCACATCCACTGCGCGATTCGATTATTACCCTAAATGAAGAAAAAAGATATAGATACTATAAAATCAGAAAAGTTCACTTAATCAATATTGTTTAACCATTAGAGGAAATAATCAAATGATTCTGTTGATACATTCAACTAATTAATTGCAAGATGTATTGAACTCATAATTCATTAGATACTTTTTATGAATGTCAACTAATTTATGAAATTGTAGGTACTAGTTAGCATATATTTTCATCCCTAAATAATACAAGTGGAAACTAACAACCTAGTTAATTTTTCAGATTTGGGAAACAAAAGATCAATTTGTTTTGTAGTACATAAGTGAAATTAATAACAACAACGAACCTTAGAGTAGATATATATGTGATGATTTAAAGATTTCTGCTTGTCTTCTGTTTGATATATACCACTTTAATTAATCTTGTCCTACAAACTTGCATACAAGCATAAAACTATATATTGGAATTATAGTCATCGATAAGGAACATTGCGCACTTAAATTGCGAGCATATATTCCTTGATTTGATATTTTGACATCTTGATTTACATGCAAATGCAACTGGTGTAACCCAAGTGGTGTCTTAGTGGATCCACAATAGACTAGACAATCGACCAAATTAGACTTTTCCTTGTTTTCTTTTTCCCTTTTTATTTGCCGTTAATCATGATAATTTGAAGAAAAAAATGATGTTAACACCTCGATGCTACACCACCATCCATCCTGCGTGTTGGAAAGGATGGAGAGGATCCTGTCCGGATCCTCTAGATCCTCCTTCTTCTTCTTTCTTTTCTGCAGTTTTGCTTCTGCTGCTGCTGCTTCTTCAATTCTTATCCTTCAATAATCCTTCTCCTACACTCCTGAGTCTTTTTCTTCACTTTTGTTTTTTTATTATGTTTATAGGAAACTTCTACATGGTCAGTTTTATATAGAATCGCGATCGTAGACGACTATTACGATGTTGCCAAAAACTAACTCCGGAGAAGTCACGACGCTGACTTCGGAAAGCACGACGCAGATTCCAGGGAAGCCACGATGCCAACGTGGCCTTTAAAGAAGAAGGATCCGGAGAGTTTGGGTCCGGAGAGGATCCTCTCCCGGAAGGGATGGTTGGAAATTTTTATTAATTTGTCCATGCTTCCATCATTCCTCTCAATCTTGTTTTCAACCTTGCATGAGAAAATTTTTAATGTGACTGGAACACGGAACGAAATATTACATGTCATTATACAATAAGAAAGTTTTGTTTTTCAAGTGTCCCTCCAATTATATAATGACATGCGATATTCCGTTCTGTATTCTAGACACACTGAAAAATCTCTCATCTTGCATGGGTCACCCAAACCCTAATTATATAGCACCTATTAAAACCTTAGATTACTTAGCCCCCTTCTCGATCATGGCATTGCATAATAACATGTGATGTTCCGTTCTGTATTCCAGGCATATTGAAAAGTCTCTCACCTTGCATAGATCACCCAAACCCTAATTATATAGCTTATTAAAACCTTAGACTGCTTGGCCCCCCGTCTGGCTCATGGCATTGTAAAGCCAACTAATACAACTCACAGCTGCAAAAACAAACGCACAACTTTACATATAAAATTCCTCGCCTGCACTATTGCTCATGATTCAAATCCTTATAACAGTGCGTAAATCTTTCTTAAAATAGAGTTTTAACAAAACACTCTATGTACTGTTCACTTTTAACGAAAAATCACATTTTTTATCTTTCCTTGGTACTATTCAGTACACCTTTATTTGTCATTTTTCTTAAAAAAGAGTTTTAACGAAACACTTCATGTACTGTTCACTTTTAACGAAAGCCTACATTTTTACCTTTCTTAGTACTATTCACTACACCTTTATTTGTCATTTTTCTTTAAAAAACTATAGTTTTTTTTAGACTTTTCGTTAGTTTTCCTTTCTTAAAAAGATATGGGTCCTAGTTAATTATGTTTATGTACTGGTATTATCATGATTAAAATCGTCATCACATATAAACCTCCATTTAATTTTCTCTTATACAAATGCCTAAGTAATCTTTAATCAAAGAATGACATCATTTCCGTACATCAAAGACGTATAAGTCTTTACAGTAATTGTCTTTGTGCAAGTTTATCCATTTGAAAGGAGGAAGGGCAAGGGCAAAGGTAAAAGCGATTACTGGTCACAAATATATTTTTTATTTTTTCTAATTATGTTTCTTGGCTTTATTTTCCACATGTCATTATTTCTCAAATAAAGTTTAATTCCAATAAATATTTGGGACGTAAAGAACAAATATAGGAGATTGTAGTAAAAATAAATATTGAGTTGTGGTGTGAAGAATGAAGACTATGGTTGGATATTTTTTGGAATTTTTTAATTTTTTTAATTTTTTTACCATTGGAATACTCTTGGCCATTGATTTTCAAAATTCTAACTATTCGAAAGTTAGGATTGTGCCACGTGGCAGCTGATCAGAAGGGCAAATTTTTTTCCTTCAAAAACCAACAGTCCAGATGACAGAATCGTTAGAAATCCAACGGATCACCAAATGATCAGGAATGAGCCATGTGGCTCTTTTGTGCACCACGTGGGGGGCCCACGTTAGTCTGCTACCTTTCTCCCAATTGCCCTCTCGTTTTTTCACCGGTGGAGCAAGTTTTTATGGGCAGGAGGGCAGTTTCACCCAATTGTAAGGGCAATTGGAAATTGTTGGAGATGCTCTCTAAGTTTGGACCGAATTCTTTTGTTAGGAATCTTAGAGATGCTGTGATAGTGATCATTTATCGTATATCGTATGATTAATTTTGATTAGGTATTATTTATATTTAATTTTAAATTTTGAATTGATTTCTGATCATACGATAAACAGTCACGAAATCTCTAGAATCCAAAAAAAAAGAGAAAATCCTCCGAGGATCCTTTCAGTTTGGACCACCAGCAATTGCAAATAATCTGTCGGGGGCCTACACGCACATTATTGCTTATGTACAATTTTGAAGTGGATGGAATATTACCTAAAAAGGCTATAAACATTATACAAAATAGAAGAGAACCTAACCTACAAATCTAAAACAATTTAACTATAATTAACTACTAACTAAAGAATTTGAGCTTTGGATTCACCCCCTCTACTTTAGTTATGAGATTATTATTGTAGGAGTGGAGATTTGAACTTGAACATTTCTCCCCCTCTACTATAGTTATGAGATTACTATTGCAAGAGTGAAGATTCGAACTTGAACATTTCTCGATATTAAAAAGACAAGTATCAATACTTGCTAGAATTCAAAGGTCGTGAGTATGGTAATATCATAAGATTATAAACAAGTTGAGTCATAATGACGAGGGAAGAATAATTTGATATCAAACTTGTCATCTACGTGATTCGAACCTAAGATCTTTTTACTTGTAAATATAAAGAAGTAGCATTAGACCATAATACTAAATGATAGCGAGCTAAAAAGCTTAACATAGACAAGACAACTGAATTTCCAAATGTTAGGTAAAGTAACAATCACAGGCCATAGCCAATGGATGCATCATGGGAAACTCAAAGCTCTTCTGAAAATTTGGAAGGTGGGGTTCTAGTTAGTGTGTTTCATGTGCAACAGAAGGAATGGATATATAAACAAAAAGGAAAAGGAAGAGGAAGGGCAGTGTTCGGCAATCCCGAGGGAATGAGAACATTTAGTTTGTTATTACATCTTTAACGTAAAGAATGACACAAAGCATAAATAAAGCCACGCCCCTTCCTCTTCTTTCTTCTCATAAAACCCCACACATCATCTCTCCCTCTTCCATCTCTCGTTAAGAAAATATATATATTTATTAATACAAACGATATTTTATACTAATTCTTACTAAAGAAGCTGAAGGAGGATTTGAAGTCAGAACGTAGCAGTTTAAAGATAACACTACCAACAGAGAGGCAGCAATCCACCAATTGCATTAATTTTTTTCTTCTTGTAGAGAAAAATGGAAAATAAAAGGGTTTGTGCACAATAATTCCCACATTTTGCACCTCTTAATTTTGAGCATTGATTGATTATTTCTCCGATTTGTTCAATTCAATTGTTAGCTAGCAGATTTTTTTGGAAAACTTCATTTATTCTGTGGTTTGTACGAGTGTAGAAATCATTTTTCAGAAAAGAAAAGGCACCATTCTCCTTTTTCCGTTTTGTTTTATTTTACTGTTTAAAGAAAGTTACAACGGGCGGTTTACTTTGGCTTGTACTTCTGGAATCGGTTTTTCAAACTCAAATCTAGAAAACTAGCCACATTGTAAATCACTTTTAAGAATAGGAAGCACCTTCCAGTTCGAGAAGATCTTGTGCAACTAAGACGCAAAGGTGACGGCATATCATACCAAAACACATGGATGGTGGCACGAGATAGACTTAAGATACTGCCACATTAACGTAATTGTTGCGTGCTCTTCAGGTTGACACAAGAAAAATTGAAACGGAACACCACATGAAGCCTTTGATTAATTAAATAAGAAAGGATTATGGGTTATATTTCATTTGACAGAAAGAAAAACCCTTCTCTATACCCTCTACTACTTCACCCCTTACAACCACGGAGTTAGATTCACATTTTTCTTTTTCCCTTTTCTTTTATTCAGAAGTTCGATTGCCAATTCATATGGTTCAGTTGGGGTTGCTGATACGCACCAACTTGTGCCCCGGGAGACGCTGCAGCCACCCCAACACCGACATTAGCGCCCATAGCAGGACCCATATGGTGCGCGTTGGGAATTGCGGTAGGCTGAGGAGGATGGTACAAACCTGGGAACTGCATGTGAGAAGATTGGGCCGCAGCTGCATTGAAGGAGGCATGAGCAGCGTGAGATGGCATGTAAGCACCGTGAGGCGATTGTGCAGGCATGTTGTAGTACGGAGGGGATTGCATGCCCGGGTGCTCCCTTGCGTTCTGAATCCAAATCTCTGATGTCTCGGCCTGCCATGTCAAACGTTAAAACATTATCAACACCACGTGTTATTGTAATTAACAGTGGACAGTAAAAACGGCTTCATGGAAGGCGATTCATTTTCAACAATTAAAATCATTTTCTTTATCAGCCAATAGCCCACTGGACAGCATTCTAATTTTAGCATTCATTGCAATTACCTACATAAAATTGTAAACTTTACCTGAGGATTTGGGATGTATAGATTGCCATCTTTGTACTTGATTCGAGATGAATCTTCTAGCCCAGTGGCCCCTCCAACAACACCAGGGGCATTCATTGCATACCCGTTAGGATTCGTAAAATTCCCAAACCCTGTGGGACTTCCAGCAGGGGCAGGCTTAAACTGCTGCACTCCATACTTGAGGCTGTTTGCATTTAGGTGTGAACCGCCTCCAGGCATCAGCAAGTAGCTACTGCCATTAGACAGGTGAGGATACGCAGGGTTGTTGGAATAACCAGGCACAGCCATTGGTGGAACATAAACTGGTGAGAGAAATTGGCGATATGGCATAAGATTAGCATAATGTGAAACATGAACTTGTGGGTACATCTGCGCCACTGGTGGTGGTTGCTGTTGTAGCATGGCAACTGTTGATGCAGCCATGCTGTTGATAGTATGTGAGCTCAAGGCCTGTAACCAGAGAAAATAGCATCTGTTTAAATCCAATTCACTATGGTTTGGTTAAAGTAGAACATAATGTAAAATTAAGAGAGAGAGAGAGAGAGAGAGAGAGAGAGAGAGAGAGAGAGAGAGGAGGGAGAGAGATGGTGTCTGTCCATCATCAAAACCCTCATTACACCGACAATGTCTAACGCGGAATATTTTTAAAGCAGTTTATGAAAGCAAAAACTGATGACCTGATTGATGTATAAAAGTTCTAAAGATGCCGGTTACGGAGAAGAAAAAGTATTTTTCCCTGCAGTACTGGCTTAAAAAATGCCAGGAACATCATTTTTAAATTATGGAGTTCTTACAAAACGCAGATAGATTGTGCACACAAAACACTCACAGAGGTATCAAGAAGCAGGTTTAGTTCTTCCAAAGGGACACAAGCATAACACAACATTACCAAGCAGCAGTTCTATGCATCCTATGGCATGCCTAAATATGGATACAGTAACTGGAGCACATCATCATACTGCAAGCACTTAAACTTTACCTCTTGAGGAGAAGGTAGACCCTGTCCACGATTTTCCTCCATATTTGGTCTGAAATAAGGCATGTCATAACCAGTCTGAGGATCAAATGCCTGCTTCCAAACAGAAAATGTCAGAATGAACAAACACGAATATGTAAATATATGTCATAATATGCAAATACTTCTTCCAAAGGAAGGCCTTTTACCAGTAGATCAAAAACTAAAGGTCCAGAAAACAATATTAATCACATCCAACAACTATCAGAAACAATGGTTGGACGATGAAATTGCAAAGCTGAACCTAATCTTATACCTATACAAACAACAAAGGAGACACTAGTCTGACCAGTGTACTCACCGAAAAACCTTGTAACTCTGGTGGATCTTGCTGCTGTGAGTCAGAAGGTGCATACGATGAACAGTTGTCTTGAACCAAACCAATATCTGCATAATTGCCCAAATTCTGAGGACTCGAAGTCTCTTTATTCTCAGGCAACTGATGTTCAGCAACTGCACCTGATGCAGGGGAATCAGATCCAGAACTTCTAACTTGGTGATCTAATAAATCGACCGGATTGATGCCAGAAGCCTCATCACTGCAAGACTCCTGCAGCTGATACTGACAAACTGTACAATAGAATCATTTATAAGTCAAACGTGCATAGGATGCCAACAGATGTTAACTGCAAACAAATTTCTCAAAAACTACATGGACAGGTCACAGCAAAGTTAACTCATCATTTGCTATAATTAGATAACACCTACCTTGCTGTAGCTTCCCTGTTTGACTCCTCTGAAGCTCCCACTTGATATCCATTAACTATGTTCCCTGTTGAATCAGGCTCTGTCCCCAAGCTTCCAAACGTTAACTGAAAACGATCACTGTCTGGGACCCTAATACTATGTGCTATGACAACGTTACAGTTATCATATATATTTACTAGTGCGAGCTTATCTTGCAATTTAGCCGCTTCTGACTCTGAAACCTGAGGATCACCAGAAGCAGGTGAAACAGATTTTGTTGGTGTTCCGATGACTCCAAGACTATTAGAACTTGCCTTTTGGCTTGACTTAGGTTTCCACTCCTTATTAGGCTGGGAAGCTGCACCCGGAAACATGATTAATACTCTTGCAACACGTCCATTAAGACATGACTCAAAGGCTTCAAAAGTGAAGACAAATCTTTCAAACAAAAGCATAAAGATTTTTTTTTTTTTTAATTTTTTTTTTTTTTAAGAAATTTTATTGCACAGAACAATAAAAATACAAGGGTGGACAAGAAGTCCAACAACAACAACAACAAAACTTCACAAAACCAACTAACAGCAGCATTCCAATTCCGTCTAATTTCTGATAAAGAAAAATATCTAAATGTGAAACCAAAAAAATTAAATAGATCTTGTTTAATTTATTCAATGCTGACAATAGCTACTGTTGATATTTTATGACATCTTACAGATGTTTTCCGGTTTGGCAATGGAAAAAGTTAATATTCACACCACCAAATAAAATTTAAACCAAATATAGGTTAATGGTGAGGTTTTCTGACACGAACAAACATTTTATGCTTTAATTCTGTTATTATAGTTTTCGTATGCAGACGAATTCATGTCAAGACGAATGAATTTAAAGTCCATAATTAAAGCAAGTATTACCTTTCTGATGTCCCACAGGTGGTTGGTGTGGCTTGACATTGTGCTGATTACTTAACAACGGTCTGCTGCCCGACATGCTAGGTATCACAGATTCAGAAGTTTGGCTCACTTGATCAGTTTTAGAGATTCCAGTAAAAGGTCGAAATGACTCGGTAGAATCCTCTTTTCCCAAAAGTGAATTTGAGACAGAAGTCACAGATCTACTTGGAGCAGATGACTTCGAGTTGTCAGAAGCTTGTCTCCTAACACCAACTTCCCGTTTAATAGCACCAACAGAAGCAGCTGGTCTGGAATCAGGAGATGGCACATGAACAGGATCTGTGGAAGATGAATACACCCCAACAACAGAGTTGCTCGATATCACCATTGGAGAGTGCGGTTGGGAATTGTTTGGCTTCCCTCCTTGCCCCCGTGAAGCTACATTTGGAAGAGTAACTCGCTTCTCCACTGATGTCTCTTTTCTAACAGTACCAGTCGAATTAGCACCACTGCTTCTAATTTGAGTTTGCCCATTCAATCCATGAGACGAATTTTGTCTGCTAGATGGCTTTTGACTATTTGAACTTCCTGTTGGGCTGAAAGCCCATTAAAACAATCATCATAAGTTAACGCAGTAATAACACAGAAAATACAAATACATATTTTTCAACACTATGGACAAATAAAAGCAGGAAAATTTGTATAAATACCAAAGGTCCTAAATACAAATAACCCCTGAAACTAAGGGTCTTCAGAAACAGCAACTCAAATGTTACAAACAAAACTCAGTCTCCTCTAGGTTTATACAACAACTAGCCTCCTGCCACACGCATACGCGTGTGGCAATTGGCCTTTTTATATTAGGTTATGTCTTTTAATTTTTTTTTTAAATAACTATTTTATATTTTTATTAAAAAATTATTCATAAAAAAAAAAATGAAGCAAAACCATGAAACCGCCCACTAACATGGGAGTTTTTTTTTAATTAAAGTTTTAAATTTAAAATTCATTCAAAATTAAAATGTGGTGAATTACTTTAAATTCTTATGGTTCAATTGTAATTTTAAGAATTCTTGAAGGACAATTTTTGGTATTTTGAATGTTTCACCTTTTAATCCTTCTCACTTTATATATATAGAAGATAAATTGTGATATTCTATGGCAAGGCATTGACATATAGCCAAGAATAATATGTAGCTACACATATAAAGACACACACGATAATAAGGATAGAGAACATACCCCTTTCCAGAATTATTTGACGCTTGCTCATCGGTGGAAGTTGTACATTTTGGTGAAGCAGGCTTCATTTCTTTATTGACATTACCGTTAATTCGGTTGTCTCTCACAACACGGAATTCCCTGCTGATTTTTGTACCTAGGAAGAGTCTATCATTAGCTAGTAATTCAAAGGAATATTACAGAGGGTAAAGTATCCAGAAACACGGAAACACTGCAGCAAAACTTCTTTGGAAACAGAAGTTGCAAAAGGTTATTTAAATGAAAATGACAGTACAACATGGCCATACAAAGCCATGATCAGTAGATTTAGGCCTGGGAGATTAATGGTTTTGGTCTTTTATTGGACATTTACCCACAACATTGTTACCATGTACCAAAATAATCATCTTCCATTTCTAAATTACCTTTGTTAATTTGGCAACACTTCTATCATAAAAACCACAAAACTATATAATTTACCTAACTCTCAACCACTGCTTTATTTTCAGTAGCTTTTATATTATATTACCAAAACGCTAGTTCAATGGGTTCTATTAGAAGCAATTTTCAGAATCTTTTTTATATGATAGTATATTAACAAAACAGCGGCCAGGTTGACAAAAGACATAGTCTTGCCCTTGTCATTGACTTGAAACCAAAATCAGTTTCAGATTGGCCCTCTAATTGCCTTTCAACCTCTAGGCCTAAATATCCAATTTGCACCATCACGCAAGTGCCTAAACTAGCATTTCAAATGCTTTTCCCTGAAAGACAAAGCGCTTTTTCTTGCAACAACTCCTTGAGGTGCAGCAAGGATTACAAAGTTGGACTTTATAGCAATCGTTATAGCAGGTTCCTCATTATAGCAATCGTTGAATAGGAGAACGCACAATAGTTCTCCACACTTTGTTAGTTTACCTTCTTTTCCTGGTGATATCTTTGAATATGTTAGCCTGAGATTGTCATAATGTATTACATTCACCGGCCGAGGATATCATTCATTAGTTTCGAAGCTACTAAGTTTTCTGACCACTCACCACTGCTCCCAGGAAGGAACAGTACCTCTTTTACTAGTCTATTTTCAATCATATTGTCGAATTATGACTTGAAGCTATCAAAAACATGAAACTTATTTCCCTTCAATGTTATGAGATGGGTTGTTTCGAGGGAGGATGGAAGATTTCTCACGTAGATGGGTTGGTTGGAGGAGAGAGGTAGAAGCAGTGGGAGAAGTTTTCAGGATTAGTGTTATTTTTGGTACTTTTAATTGTATAAATTGATTACAAATTTAAAACATTTTAATTGATGTAGATGACCACCTCAACTGCCACATAAGGTGGTATTAGTATTGTGGTACAAGTAGGTGGTAAGAAGTAGCATTTCCCCCATCCCTTAACTTTGGTAACAAAGAAGCATAAACCCAAGCGAAATATTCCCCGAGGTTCCTAAATCTAGATACTGATTTCCATGTAAAGGGCCTTTTATGTCACATTGGTTAAATCACACTGTTTCAAAGCATATACCACTCGTCTATAACGCATCCATTTTCAAAAATACTTAAATATACAATAAAAGTGATGCAGTGGTTAACAAGACAAATATCCAAATAGAGCATATTAGCAAATCAAGCAACCAAGACAACAAACTCCGACTACCCTCAACGACAACTTTTCTCAATCAACAATGAAGCATACGCCTACATATATCTTTTTCAATGCAATCAGAGCAGTTAACACTAAGAAGGAATAATGTATTGATCAGAGCCAATTCCAAAACCTCTTTCTTTTATGATTTCAACTAGGCATGTGAATAAAAAGAGCTAGTTGAAAAAAGACACTAACTAATAATCATGAGGCTTTGTTTACAGTAAATAACCAAAAATAAAATAAAATATGCCGGAAGAAGAATTAAAAAGCTTGTAATAAATCACGACATAAATGAATTACCAGTTGAACCGCCACGAGTATAACCTCCTCTTCTAACATTACGATCAGAAAATGTATTGCGAGATGAGGGACGATCAGAAAATGTATTGTGAGATGAAGGGCGATCAGAAAATGTATTGTGAGATGAAGGACGATCAGAAGTTGTATTCTGAGAAAAGGGATGATCAGATGTTGTATTCTGAGAAGAGGGATGATCAGAGGATGTATTTGGTTTGGGTCCTTGGCCTGCACTCTCAAAATGTCTCCTTGCATCCGCAGGAACCTTGTGCCCATTACTCTAAAGCCACAAGTACAGTAAACCAGTAAAACTTTTGCCTTGCAATAGGTTCCCTTTAGGACTATTTGAATCAACATAAAAAAATAATACGATTACGGTAATTAAAAATAAAAACTTAGTGAGTCCCGCAAAACCACGACTATCTCCCAAACAACTAAACAATAAAAAATAATAATAACAGTTTCACAATGTGGTCATTTGAAAGTGGTTATAATGCCTTCAAATGTGACATAAGTCAACTAATAAGCTTAATTAGGAGAACCACCAATTCTTGATGAAATGAAACACATGACATAGAATTACTCCGCAGTGCATTAATTGATTGCCAAAGACCTTTTATATCTCACTAGACTAAATGATAGCAGTATTCTTTTTCTTGGGAGGCATTCATTTGGCAAAAACATAAAAACCTTGGTAACAGCATAATGTTAATTACTGCTTTTCCAGGGATCACTTCGCCAAAAAGATCATGAATTTGATTAGTCAAACGAGCCAGTAGATTAGCGGTACACTAACGTATGCCTATCACTATTAAGTATTGACTGATGAATTGTATAGGTACAGGAAGCCACAACTCAACAGTATTTAACCATGTATCATTACACCAGTTCTGAAAAGAGTTAAGATCTTCATGCAGAACGTAAATTCTGCATATCAACTACTGCTCCCGTAGTCTTACGCGTACCATGCTAAAATATACAAAGCTAAAGGTGAGAAAATGAAACCACAAGAAAAATGAACAGTAACTCAAAGCCAACCAAAACTTACATTAGAGGATACCTCCTTCCTTTTGTCTCTTTTTCTCTTCACAACATGAAATGGGTCTGGGTAAAACCAAACGAAAAAATTCAAACTAAGAAACTGAACCAGTATATGAAAAATGCAAGATAATGGTATTACACAATCAACAATGAGAAATTGTGTTGATAGGTCTCAAGAAAATAAAGCAAATACGATTCCTCTAATACAGCTTCAAAAGTTCAACGGAAGCATGTAATAAGTACATATGTGAAAATATAGCTTAAAAAGAAACTACTAACAGAAGGAGATACACAAAAAAGAGGTCACCAAAAATCTAAACTCTCAATCTAGCGACTCCCAAAAGTTTAACTAGTTAGAGGTACTAGTACAATGAGGTAATAATCGCCCAGGCAACCGTAAATACTACTTTAATACAATCGAACTTGGTTTACCACTGACTGTCACTAAAACTCACCCGAAAACAAGTTCAATCAATTAGCTCATAAATGAAGTAAAGGCAGAATTTTTACAATGGCAAAACCTCAATAACAAAAGCACAAGTGCCACATTCCACAAGACAACCCTAAAATCAATAATTAGAATAACCAAACCCGATAACAATTATTACACCGAGCAACGGACTCAGTAAGCAGGAAAGTAACCCCAATCGAAAAACAGAATTTCATTACCCAAAACAGAAGAGCAAATAAAAAATCACTACACAGAGCAATAGTACCACAGATCTAGGCAAAACAGAGTCAAAAGCAGAGACCTTGGTTGAGCAACTTCTGGGTAGTTTCATTAGGATCCATGTCGGTTTCTTTGAGAGCCCAATAGATATCAATATCCGAGTAATTACCCACTATTTCTTTGATTGATTGAATCGTTTTTCTCACTCCTGCTGAGATTATCTGAGTCCCACCTTCGATTCGCGACCCGGCGACCATCTCTCACTCTAACTCCGTCCCGAATTCAAAATTTCTAAAAAAAAAAATATCAAAGGAAAAACGGAAAACCCAAATACTGTACGATAGATATACGGTCTAGGGCAACATATATGGCGGAATCAAAACCCTAATCCGATGAGAGAAATGTGCGAGAGGGTTTTGAAATCGTTTTACTACTCAAAGAGTTGTCAGGGCAAAATCCTGAAATTCTGAGAATTGGGGGAATTATCTGCCCTTGGTGTTTGTGTTAAAATGCGGGACTGCCGCTGTACGTAGAGGTGATTTGGGATTTAAACCCTAATTTTCTTTCTAAAGTTCACCAGTGCCCCAGTGAGAACCAATTTTGAAACCTTTTCTCCACGTTGATAACTATTTGTTTTTAATTTTTATTTTGTTATCAAATTGAAATTTTGTTTCGTAATTACTTTTTATTTTATGTTTTTTTAAATAAAATTTCAATACTAATTAAAAAAATTAGAGGCATTTAATGATCATTTGTGTTTTTAATTTTCAGACAAAAATCCAAAACTCAATGGCTATATTTTGAAAATTTAATCAATGTTATTTTGTTTTTTGAAAACTAAAAGTAGGACAAAATAATATTTTAGTTTCCACTCACTTTCCACCCTCTTTACTTAAAAATAGAAGGTAATTACCAAATGAGAATCCAAATTTCAGTTTTCAAAAAATTAAAGATCCCTCAAAAGGCCAACTACACCAAAAAACATTATTTTGGGCCTTACTCTAAATCCAGGTACTGCCTACAGTGATCTTTGCCCAATTCACTTAGGGCCTTAGGCCCAGTTGATATCACTCTAAATCTGAGGCAAAAAAGGAAAAGATGCAAGAACATGAAACTTTGACAAAACAACATTGCCGTTCAGATGAAGAAACTGAAACCAGTTTACAGTAAGAGTCTGATGAAAAGTATATGCCTTTATAGATCAAATTTCATTCCCCGTAAACATTTTTCGTCGCCCCCATTTTTTGCACCCTTTCACCGAATTCCCACGAATAACCAATAACATTATCCATCCGTAAAAGAAAAAAGAAATTCCACAGTTCACATAGATATATTTAACTGAAGTCATGTAACTTGGTCATAGTTGATAAACGAAAGCTTTGTTGACGAGATTGCGCCTATGAACATACTGCTGTTTAATAGAAGAGCCACCACCTCGAAGCTGTGCTAACTTCTAAGTCATAAGTACTGCTCTTGGATCCTGGCCCTGTTCTCTTCCCACCACAATCTTGCATGCATTTCGCCAAACTTTTCTCGGCTGCATAAGAGAAGGATGCCGGAAATGAATTCATATTCAAGCCAATTTGATCATATATGTTACTGTAATAATGAATTTAAATTGTTTAACTATCCACGATATAGAAAACAAATTACCTGAATCGGACACGTCTAAGCTCCCTAGCGCCACCTGGCAATGCTCTGATAGTGATGTACACTCCCGGTTCATCCTGTTCAACCCATTCGGTCTCCATATCACTGGCGTTGCTAATTGAAAACTCTCCTGAGCGATCTGCCTCTGAACTAGTCCTTACAGAACCATCTATAGATGATGTCTCAGTTTTCACCCCACTGATGCTGGAAAGTTTAGGTGTTGAAGCTAGACCACTGGTTTCACAGTACTGACGTGATTGCATATGATGCTGGTCAAGTGAATCTGATGAAGAGTACCCCATACCTATTGGCCGGTGGAAGTTGCGGGGTAGGCGCTCTTTGCTCAATGGGGGAGTCATAGGACTGTCCCTAGCAGATTCGACCTTTGAGCTCTGCAATTGGGGGAGAGGAAGAAAAAGGTATTTCTTAACATTAGAAATGCATACCATCAACAATAGAAGGTGATTCTAGCTGAGCCCTTTATACAATTTGTAGAAACCAATGCATCCAATCATTCAATAGATAACCACAGTTGAGGTTTAAGATAGCAAGTAAATACAAGTAAACTTAGAGAGAAGCAACACGGGGAGGTAGCCAACATATTCTGAATAAAATTAGACGATCTGAAATTCAACAGAGAACAAATGAATTTGTAAATTTGTCCATATTATGACTTTGACAGGTAATGGAAAGTCTCAATCTCATACCCAGATTATGACAGATGGAGTTCTGCAGGTGACTGTTTAGTAACAATAATGAATAACTCCTAAAGGAAATTTATTTGACCCTTACTTACCTTAGGTCGCCAACAAGAAAGTATTTGCATAATGCATTGGGGGTAAGCTCACCTCGTCTTCAGATCTAGGCGGGGTTGGAAGGGGGACTGCTTGATGATTGAACCTTTGGACATTGTATAATTCCATGACCTTGTCATAATTCTCTGCCCACCACCTTTGAGCTTGCCATTTGTTAAATAACTCACGACTGATTTAAGTTTACAACACAGTTTAGTAGATTTAGTATCTGAATCAAGCTATCATAACATGACCGACAACAAGATAAACAAGTAACAACAAAGTTACCGCTAAACCCGGCAATAGGTTAGTGTTTCAGTGAAGAGATTACAGGATGAACAAGAATTCATTCAAGAAAACAGAACTCTGCGAAGCACCAAGTCCTCTAATTATCACTGTGCAACAAGACTTGTAATGCTTTCAACAGGCAACTGGGACTACTCTTTTGTTGATTTATAACTCTCTTTTTTATATGTGGTGATCTATAACTCTTACTTATGGCCTAACAACCAGTTAATATAATCGCATATTGTCAAAATGTAAGTTTATCCCCTATAGCAATGGTACTGACAAATATCCTAACATCATGGCTTCAAAAATCAACTTCAATCAAATTCCGTAAGAGGGGATATTATTGTTTCTTCTATATTATTTTCCAGTTATATTTCTGGTTAAAAGTGAGATATCTAAGACCCGTTTAGAGTGTGTCATAGTTTCAAAGGCTAAATAATCAAGTCTTCGTCTCTTTTGACACCACATCCAACACTCAAGTTAGTAACGGAATATCTAGAGAATGGACTACTAATACGTGAGTGAAGTCACTGAATACTAGTAGGCAAGTGAAGTCACCAAAAGAAGAGAGGCGTCACTAGGTCAGTGTTGATAGGGTGGACCCGACAAGGCCATCAAGTTTCGGGAACATAGTAGAATGTTATGATCCTAATAATGAAATAATTAAATCTCTGACTGTTTGACACCTCAAGCCTGTGAAGACTAATGGCTGGTTCTTAGCATAGGACCACCTACCATACAAAAGATTGTGAGAAAATAACAGTTCACATGCTATTTAACTGCTACACCCTCCCAATCAAACTATATTGTTAAAGTCCAAACACAAAGGACAATGTCACAATACTTCAACCCCAATCAACAATCCGACGCTTAAAACAACTAATCAAACACGAATGAATCAGAAACTATATGCTTCCAGATCAAGAATAAACAGAAAAATATCAACACACAAAGTGACAAAGACACAGTTGTTCAAAAGCAATAGCATGTGATCACACATTCATCACACTCCACTGAAATTCAGATTCTGAAAGTACCTGAATCGAATACGTTTGAGATCATTTCCTCCTTGGGGCAAAGAAACAAAAGTGATGATCACACCAGGTTCCACTTGTGCCACCCATTCTTTAGGCTCATCTTCCTCCACTAACACAACGGACTCCGTCCTTCCACTCACTGATGCTGGCGTCCCTTCCCCACTCGAAAGCGCCTTTAGTCTACTGTCCATCTCCTTCCCCCATAGCCTCGGGGTCGAATTGGATCTCCCCGTCCGCCTGTACGAGCCATGGAAACTCGCTGACTCCGAGTTGGCATCGGAGTCGGCATAGTTTTGGTGACGGTTGTCAGTGCAGGACCGCGAACAGGGCTTGCAGTTTTTGTAGGCTCCCGAGGCCTTCAATGCCATATCCTTGATCTGCAAAAACACAACTGTTCCATTGAACACGCAGGAAAACAAAATCTGGGTTTTCCTTATTCCATTGATTTGTTCCCAAAACTGTGAAGTTTCAGCTGAATAAAATCTTTCACACCACCACTGTTCCATCTAACAAGACTGAGAACGGAGAACAAAACATTACCCGCTGTTTGGTTCCCGAGAAAATGAAGGGAGAATCAGAGAAAACAGGTTCTGGGTCTGTCATTTTCACAGGTACCATTCCCTCATTCCACCTAAAAGGCCAATTAGCATACACCGAACTCCTGTTTTTTCTCTCTACATTTTCTCGGGTACCAAACAGAATCTCTCAAAAAACGCATCAGTTACGAATCTTACGAATGGTTACCTGGGCAGTGAGGGCCTTGATGGCTTGCTTGGTCCTGGGAGTCCCGGCGACAGCGTCGTCGTCGTCGTCTTGGTGGTGGAGAGATCCATTGTTGAGCTGCTTGGAGCAGGGTATACACTTCAGCATCACCGATTCCCGAACGCCAAATTGAACGAGATTTCAGATCAGAGCGTCTCCGCCAGGTGTGGCGAAGCTAGTCCCCGCTTAGCAATCACAGTCACAGCCAGCCCAGTAAGCTGAAGATCTCGTTCTCAGAGAACCTCGACATGGAAAATGGTAAATGGGGTCTGGTGGGTACACTCACAGAGAGACAGAGAGATAGAGAGAGGAGATAGGGGCTCGTCAGGTCAGGTGACCGTTAATGAAGGTAAAACACCAAGCCAAGGGTCATATTCGTAACTTTGTGGCTATTTGCAAGGGCGTCTTGGATCCGAATGACATTTAAACCTAAATCGGCTTGTTTGGAAAGTTTTTTAAAAATATTAGGGATCGTTTTTGGTGAAAATGGTTTTAAATTTTAAAATCATTTTAATTGTTTTATGAAAAAAAAATTGATTAGATATGGGCTTTTTGCAGGAATGTTGTTTCAAGATCTACTTAAATTTTTCTTTAAAAAAAAAAAATCTATTTGAATTTTTACTAATATTAATTTCAAAAATATTTTCATTAAACACACTTTCAATCATTTTAAAAACATTTTCAAGCGAACATTGACCAATTGACCTATGCAACAAAAACCTCATTCTCATTTATATTTCTTCGGGGTTTTTCCCTAAAAACAAATAGACAATAAAATAAAACAAATCCCAGTTAAGACTAATTCATCCACTGTCACTCTCTCTCTCTCTCTCTCTTTGAGTTTGCTTAATGCTGGGGCCAAGGGGCTCGTGGGGGACATTGAGATTTGGGCACTTGCAAATTGCAAAAATAGTGGTGGGACACTGTGACTGGAGCATATAAAATAATTATAATTTTTTATTTTAACAAACGATATTATTTACATTAAGAGACAAGAGAACACGTGAATTTTTAATTCACTTTCGACGAGAAACAAATCTAAAACTTCTTATTTACATATGAAGAGAAACATTATTAGATCGTAATACTATATGGTATGAAATAAATATAATTAAATGTATTTATTAATGAGAGTGAATGGATGTGGGCCACCGTCTGGGGGTGTGTGGGTCAGCGTCATGCGAAGGGCACCAGGGAGGCAGCGCCACCCTAAAAAGGTGGAAACCAGAAGCTAGTGCAGTGACATTACACTGTTCTCGTATCTTGTGTGTTAGCGTGTGCGTGTGTCACTCCTTTTGGTTTTTGTCATTCGTTCAACTTTTTCATTTTTTTTGTCATATAAAAGTTAGAGACGTTGTAATTAACCCTTCAAAAAAAATAACCGTAAGCGTGTAAGTAAACAATTACTCATGTAGAAGATAAAGTATGAGAGATTTTCAAGATGTTCAAAACAAGAGAGTTACATTAGGTGTCACTATATAATTAATAAGATATTTGTGTTAAAAGAACAATAAAATAAAATTTCTCACTACTTATATAATAACAAACGATGTATCATCTATATTTTAGGCATAATAAAAAAAATTCTCGATAAGTAGGGTTAGGTGTGATGTGATTCGAGTCAGGTTGGAGCCCGACTTGATCTGTAATTGGTTGTACAATTGTTTGGTTAGTTGATCGTTAACAAATTCAAACTTATAGTGATTTTCACACTTGTATTTTTCCTTTATGAACGTCTCTTTTCTTTTTCAACCGTTCAATTGAATATGTTAGAAGAAAAAGAGGTAAGTACAAAAAGAGAAAACTAAAGCATGAAATGACAATCAAAAGAAATAAAGAAAAAGTTGGATCTTATAGATTTCAAGTCATAGACTCGTCCCAATAGAGAAAGGAAGGTTTAAAGAATAATATCGAATCAGTTTACTTCAAAATCTTTGTTTATAACTTTATACTCTAAATTTGCTTAAGCATTAAGACACGTATGAGAACTCCTCCCAAAATGTCACAAGGTAAGACTTGAACATGCGTATTTCCAAAAAATATTTTCATTTGCTTGTATACGTCTTGATGATTTGTTAAATTGCACGTTTTTTTTAAACTCTAACATCTTATACATGTACTTTTCCAGTTTAATACAATTTATTTAGACATATTTTTCGAGTAATACACTTTAAATATGTATCTTCAACATATTATTGAAAAATATATATTAAAATGAATTTAAAAAGGCCAAATTCTAGTCTTTTTAACAAAGTTGCCTAATAATATATGCCTTTTTTACGTATTCTACTTCTTTTGTATTTTACTAATTATGTTCTTAAATAAGAAAGTGTTAACCTCACACGTGATATTGTAGTTGTAAATTGTAATATGTGGGTTATGACTGAATCTTGGCTAAATTATTTGCAAGGATTCTCTCTGTGTTCATCTATATAAGCGTGCTGAGTATTGAGCAGCCGAAATTCAAATTTGCTTTTGTCCTTTGCAATGATATTTGGTCGCTAGCTTCCATTTCATTGCTTTTTATTTTTTTGATGTCTATATTTAGTAGACTGCATCATATGGTGATTGATGGGTAAACTTCTTCTTTAAATCATTAAAAATACAATTCCAAACAACCAACACATCATGTGTTTTATAAAATATGATCTAAAAGATTGGCCTCCTTAGCAGTGACGAAGCCAGGAATTGTCGAGTGGAGGAGCGGAAGTTTGTGAGTCTTGGAGTTTTGCACTTTGATTTTTCGAGTGCGAAGTACCCTTATTGGACTAAGTGGAATCCTATATGGACATTTGAACTTACTTGGTATTTGGTCTCCTTTCTTGTCATAATCTTATGGTATTCGTCACCACAAACGTGTGAGTTCAAGCATAACAGAATTTAGAGTTAAAACAAAAAAACTTATGCAAAAGAATGTTAAGGAGATCGACTCACTCAAAAACGAGTCCTAACGACTCACTTGACACTTGTAGTCCTTGCTTCTTACCATTAACATTGTAGAAAAGCACACAAGAACTTTAAAAATATATTAATTATTTGTATGCCTTGCCCTCCCTCATCCTCTCCACTACCCGAATTAGGAAGAACTCAGAAGCCAGAAAAAGAGCCTTTAAACTACCATTCACAACTTTACTTCCTTGCCCAGATGCTTTATCTTTCTTGACCATCTCTTTTTTTTTCTTTTTTCTTTTTTTTGGTTAGAAATTCTACGATTAAAATGGAATTTTAACTGTTAAAACTACAAAATCTGCAGAAGTTGGTCCACCCATGGCAGCCCATTCCCCATTCAATATCTCCTTACGTGTAGCTATGTGCACACTAGGGACAAGTCGTCCCTTGCTATTTAGTTTTTTAATTTATTCTTTTCGAAACGAAATGACGTCGTTTACCCATTTTCTTTTAAATTTTTTGTTTTTTTCCTCAGCCAAAAGGATGTCGTTTGACATGGGTTTTTTTTAAAGAACAAAATAATAAAAAAAAAATTATAACGCAGTAGCCTCGCTGCAGGAAAGCAACGTAGCACCTGAGCACCAAATCAACAAGACCAGAGGAGAGGGGTGGAAACCTGAGTTGTAGGAAGGATCTCCGACAAGCGAAGGGCGACCGCCCCTCCTTGTCCCTATGTGGCTTCGCCAGTGGCTCTTAGCATCTTCATTTCATCAATACACCAATTTTGAGTGCAAAGTATAAAAGATTACTACATTTTGTCTCTTAAAGATTGGATGTTGTATTAGAAATGAGCTACGAGATTTTAATTTTAAGTGTGGAGATAGAAGAGGTATACAACTAGTTGCATGTTATAATTCACCCAACCCAATATGGGAAGGTTGGTATGGTGAAGTGACTTAGAGTCAGGAGTCAGAGGATTGTTTATTTCAAACACATGAGCATAAAAACAAGCTTTCTCAGTTGCCACACCATCAATTTAAAAACCTAACCTAATGGGTAAACAAAATGTTTAGTAGTGAAATGAGATTTTATTCTGGAGCGTGATTTGTTTCTAAGATTGCTTCTAGCTCTAGGCTTTTTACTAGCTAGTCTTAGTAAAGCGCAATGTTAAAACACCATGGTGTAAATTGACTAAATTAAACCTTGTACTTGTTTTTTTTTTTTTTTTTTAAAACACCCTCGAACCTTGAGTGCAAAATATAATTTATCAACAACCACGTTGTATTATTTATAAAGTTTAATCTAAAAAATTAGTCACTCTAGTATTACTATGTACATAACACACAAATCATTAGCGGTATTGATTAAGTGTTACATCTCAGGCTGGGTGACGAAGCCAGCACAGCTTGATTCAGAGTCCTAGTAGGACATTCTAGATCGAAATGTGTCATTAAGCCACCACGCTATATTATTTTTAAAATTAATCTAAATAATTAGTCTCTCTAATATTACCATATATATAGCACACAAATCATTGACCGTATTGATTAGGCCACATGTAGGATGAACAAAAATCGTGGGAATCGGGAAAGCTTAAGCTATGATATTGTTTGTAGCCTTGGACTGGGAGAACGACACGACTGCTCTGCTCACAATATTCTATATGCAGGTCGTTAACTCAAGATTCACAGTTAAAATATCATGCATACTATAGGAATAGAGAAGTATGATTGTTAAACGTGGACAACAATGTGTATTTGCATTAAAGGAATAGAGAAGTATGATTGTTCAACTTGGAGAATTTTTTTTAAGAATCGTGAAGAAGTTGAGATTGCATCCTCAAATTAACTGGTAATTTGAAAGTAATTTAACAACTTATAAGCATAATAAGGTACTTTTATTTCCTCGATGTGAAATTCATATAAACTCTTAACACATTATTTACGCTCGATAAATTTTCAAGTCTAACTCCAACAATCAGAGAGATGGGCTGAAGATCCACTTCCAACAATATCGATATCGTCCCCAACTTGGTAATTACCGCATGCACAATCGTCAGGTGTGAGGTTTTATCACAAAAGGCATCAATATTAGTTGGAGTGGAGTTATGATATTTAAACTCTTCTTTCTTTATTTCTCTAGCCGATGTGGGATTACAACAGGACCATCTGCGGCCGTCATAAACGAAATAACCTATTACGATACTATGAAAAAGTTAACAAATTGACAATATAAAAAGTACTCCAACGTTCATCTCACATGCAAAAAAAATTCATAACCAGCAAACATTTGTGGAGTAGATGCATAGAGACCTATCAAAGTCTATGGCACTTAGTGCAGATAAAGCTCCATGATTTGTGTTACGCTTTTCTTTAGGGTGACAACAAACCAAACCAAATGTGCTTCCTTTTTAGATTCTCATTTTCTTAGAGTATAATGTGTAGTTTTCCAACTAAGTCTATAGTTAGAGCACCTTTCTGTCTCCTTGCATACT